AGTCTTGGAAGGGGGTTTATGAGAAAAATATCTTAAAGTAATTAACAAAGGAAGGAAAAACCTTTAGTGCCTCCCTTTGTTTACATGACAGGATCAAACTCCTCAGCTTTGCTTGTGAGGTCCTACCTAAGTAGGTACCATCTACCAAACCCTTTGAGTTGATTCTGACTTGTAGTGACCCAACAGGACAGAGTAGAACTGCCTGATGGGATTTCCAAGGTTGTAAATCTTTACAGAAGCAGACTTCCATATCGTTCTCTTGTGAAGCAGTTAGTGGGTTCAAACCTTTCAGTTAGCACTCAGGGGCTTTAACCACTGTACCACTAGGATGCCTCAGGAACAGCTTAGTAGGAATCAGACTTCTGACTTAAACCATTTCCCCAGCTTTTTGGTAGGTAAAGTAACCTTGGGAATTTTCTTGATCTGTATGAATCTGTTTCTTAAGTGTAAAATGAGGGAAGGCCTGACATGTAAAACATTTCACAAGTAAGCCTGTGCTTACCTACAGTACTAGGTATTTTGTCCCAGTTAGGAATTATACATTTGAAAAGAGGCATTGATTCTGTTGGAAGAGGTTGGGAGAAAAAGATGCCAGCCATATCTTTGATGTGATAAAACTGTTCACTATAGATTAATGTTGTTGTTGTTGTTATGTGCTGGGGAGTCAGTTCTGACTCAAAGCGACCCTGTACAGGGTTTCCGAGGCTGTCAGTCTTTACGGGAGCAGAAAGTCTCATCTTTCTCCCGCAGAACAGCTGGTAGTTTCAGACTGCTGACCTTGAGGTTCACAACCCAATTCGTAACCACTACGCTACCAGAGCTCCTTGATTAGTAAGTAAGCACAATTAAGCTCGTGTTTACCTTGCTTATTGGATAATATGTCTCTGGGATCGCAATCACATATTTATAGAAGTAGCAGCAGGCTGAGTTAAGACGCACAGGTAGAATTTAGGCATTCACAAGTGTGCATGTGATGAGGGCCAGTTTGTGGAGAAGTGTCATCTTACAGACTAGCAGAACAGCCCAAGTCAGAGGAAGAATTCAGGAATAGAGAGCACAAGAAGGGAAGTAATGGCTGATAAAGTTGAAAAATGCACTAACCTGATTGCCTAGGTTGTTGTTGTTGTTAGGTTCCATTGAGTTGCTTCCAACTCATAACTATCCTGTGTACAACAGAACCAAACACTGCCTGGTCCTGTGCCATCCTCCCAACTGTTACGCTTGAGCCCATTGCTGCTGCCACTGTGACAATCCATCTTGTTGAGGGTCTTCCTCTTTTTTGTTGACCCTCCACTTTATCAAGCATGATGTCCTTCTCCAGGGACTGGTCCCTCTTGATAATATATCCAAAGTATGAGAAATGACAGTGTCTCTCTGCTATTCATAAGGTTTTCAGTGACTAAATATTCAGAAGCAGTTCGTCACTCCTTCCTCCTAGTCTGTCTTCAAACAACGTTCTTGTCAACGGAGAAAAGATTGAAGTTGTCAAGGACTTCATTCTTCTTGGATCAACTATCAACACTCATGGAAGCAGCAGTCAAGAAATCAAATAATGTAGTGCATTAGGCAAATCTGCTGCACAAGACCTTTTGAAAGTGTTGAAGAGCAAAGATGTCAGCTTGAGGACTAAGGTGCGCCTGACCCAAGCCATGGTATTTTCAATAACCTCATACGCATGCGAAAGCTGGACAGTGAATAAGGAAGACTGTAGAAGAATTGATGCTTTTGAGTTATGGTGTTGGAGGAGAATATTGAAAGTGCCATGGGCTGCCAAAAGAACCAACAGATCTGTGTTTGAAGAAGTGCAACCAGAGTACTCCTTGGAGGCCAAGATGGCCAAACTTTGTCTCACACACTTTGGACATATTGTCAGGAGGGATCCGTTGCTGGGGATGGATATCATGTTTGGTAAGATGGAGGGTCAGAGATAGAGAGGAAGACCCCCAGCGAGATGGATTGGCAGAGTGGCAGCATCAATGGGCACAAGGGTGGCAATAATTGTGAGGTTGGCCCAGGTTTGGGCAGAGTTTCGTTCTGTTGTGGTATGAGTTCTGTTGTGCTATGAGTCAGTACTGACTTGATGGCACCTAACAACAACAAATGAGAAATGAAGTCTCTCACCTTCCTGGTTTCTAAGGAACATTCTGGCTATACTTCTTCCAACACAAATTTGTGTGTTCTGGCAGTCCTTGGTACTTTCAGTTTTCTCTAACACCATAACTCAAATGCATCAATTCTTCTGCAATCTTCCTTATTCATTGTCAAATTTTCACATGCATATAAGGTGGCTGAAAATACTATCATTTAAGTCAGGTGCACCTAATCTTCAAACTAGTATCTTTGCTCTTGAATATTTGAAAAAGGTTTTGTGCAGCAGATTGCCTAATGCAATACATCATTTGACTTCTTGGCTGCTGCTTCCATGGGGGTTTATTGAGGATCCATACAAAATGAAGTCTTTGACAACTTCTATTTTTTTTTTTTTTACATACATACATATGGAAGTATGTGGCCTTTGATCCACATCCTCATCAGTAAGTATTTTAAGTCCTCTTCGCTTTCAGCAAGCAAGGTTGTTTCATCTGCATATCTCAAGTTGTTAATGAGTCTTCCTCTAATCCTGATACCATGTTCTTCTTCATATAATCCAGTTTTTGGATTATTTGCTCAGCATACAGATTAAATAAATATGGTGAAAGAATACAACCCTGGCGTAACCCCTTTATGATTTGAAACTATTCTGTAACCCCTACTTTTGTCTGAATGACAGGTTCTTCATGTGTACAATGAAGTGCTCTGGAATAACCATTCTTTGCAATGTTATCTAAAGCTTGTCAAGATCCACACAAGTAAAAAACTTTTGCGTAGTCAATAAAGCACAAATAACAACTTTCTGGTATTCTCTGCTTTCAGTCTAGATCTATCAAATACCAGCAATGATATCCCTAGTTTCACATCCTTTTCTGAATCCAGATTGGTTTTCTGGCAGTTCCCTGGTGATGTACTGTTACAGCCAGTTTTGAATTATCTTAAGCAAAATTTTTCTTGTATGTGCTATTAACGATATTATTCGATGATTTTTGCATTCCGTCTGGCCACCCCTCTTTGGAACAGGCACAAATATGGATGTAGCTGTCTTCCAAACTTCTTGGCATAGATCAATATAGGCTGTTATGATAAAACTGAAGACGTTTATATTACGAGTTCTTGTTGTACACATCCTTTAAAAATGTTCTCTCACTGTCTGAAAGGAAATGCAAACAAGCCAACCAAAGGCATTTTTTTAAAAACGAGGGGGAAAAAAATCTTGTAATGTTAGAAGCTGTGACACAAAATCCTGTAGTTTTTTTTTTTTTTTTTTTGTAATGTTTTATTGTGAATTATGCGATAGTTTACATGGAAGAACATTAGTTTTACATTCATTCTATCGTATATCGTTTCAAAGGGTATACCCTGCAAGGTTGGCAGTTCAAGCTCACCAGCAGCTCCTCACAAACCCTATATAGGGTTACTATGGGTCGGGATCAACTGGAAGGTACTTAACAATAACACATATACGACAAACTAAAGGATCAGCAAAAAAGAGGAAGACCCTCGACGAGGAACCATAGCTGCAACAATTGAGCAGGATAGGAGTTCAGTGTGTTTCGTTTAGGTGTACATAAGTATGTTCCCATGAGTTGGAACCCACTCGAGACCACTTAATAACTACATACTACAAATCACTTAAATGAAAAGAACAGAAGTCCTGGCGTCAAGGTGAGACGCCTGAAGGTGAAAGGACAATAAGCACAGTACAAAGCACAAGACCTACACCTCTCAAAGACAGGGCCTGGAATGCGCGCCTGCGCAAACCGAATCCTTATGCGCAGAAGTCGGGCCGGAAGGGCTAAGGCAAGCGGGGGCGGGGAAAGGGTTGCTAGGAAAACGCGATGACGCAACGGTCTCGACGCTCTTCTCCACCAATGAGCACTGCGTGCCTGTAGTTGACGCGCTGTGTGCGTCACGCTGACGACGCGCGAAGGGCACAGATCTGCCGGCTGGGAGGGCATTCTGTCTCTGTGAGCCGCAGTCTTTCTGTGGGATCGGACGGGTGTTCGCCATCTTAGGCAGTGAGTGTTACCCGGCCTCCCCACGGTGGGTGCGGGGAACGGAGCTTAGAATCCCTGGGGGACTACTGCTTTGGCCGTAGGCCCGTTAGAGCACGGTCTACTTTAGGGTAGTGCCATGACCTCCTCAAGGGCGCGGGGGCGGGAAGAATGCCATGACTGGGGTCCCTGGACGCCTGTGATTGCGCAGCTTGACCGACCCCTTCATCTATCCTTCGAATTTCGTTCCCTCTTTCCCTAGAAGATGTTCTCGTCCGTGGCACACCTGGCACGGGCTAACCCCTTCAAGGCGCCGCACATGCAGTTGGTGCACGATGGCCCGTCGGAGCCCCGCAGCAGTCCCGCTGGGTCCCCAGGCCTGCCCCGCCGCTCCCGCAACCTGGCGGCCGCCGCCGTGGAAGGTAAGGTCAGAGTCGGCCCGCTGGCGACGCGTTCTGCCTGCGAGGCCTGGGCCGGACCTGGAGGACAGGGAAGGGCGCCCTCGGTTGTCTGTCCCGGGATGTCACCCCTTTCCGCTTTAGGCCGGGTGTCCAGTCCTTGGCCCCTCCTTCAAGGGCGTGGAAGGAAGGGCCTGAACCCAGCGTCCACTGTGACCTCCACGCCCTCGAGGTGGAGCGGCTGTGGGGCGTAGCTTGGGGTCTTCACCCACCTGCCCCGCCGGCCTAGGCACGGCCACACGCAGATCTAGCGGTGACCTGCTCTGAGATTTGGCGCGAGTCCACCTTTCCTTCCATTAAACGTTCCCTAAGTCTGACATTGGGTGACCGCAGACAGGAGGGCCTTGGTAGGGGAGGAAACTTGAAGTCCGAGGTGGACTGCAGGCCGGCGGCCTTGGCTGTCGTTTGGCCTCCTTCTGGCCTTTTCTCCCGGGACTCATAGGAGTTGGGCCCAGCTTTGTGTGTATTTCACTCCCACTGACAAACTTGGAAACCAAATTGTAGGAGTCATGACATTAGTGTGGGTTAAAAATCATACTGTCAATCCATCCTTCAGTTCTAAATCTGAAAGCTAATGTCATCTTTGAATTGTTAAATGTATTTGACTACAGAACTGTATGTGTGCAGGTAGTCCTTCACCTAAGGTCATGTGCTGAGACAAACTGTACTTCCCAGCAGTGTTAAAATGTATCTGGAAGTTTATATGTAATGTTTCCACCCTTTATAAAGATACGACAATGGTAATCAAAACTGAAAAAACCACAGAAAATGAACTATTTTGAGTTTAGCTTAAGAACTTATTCATGGAATGGAAGCCTTTAATAGTGAGTTCTATGGACTCCTGGAATGGCGCTGTAGGATCAGCACTAGACTGCAAACTACAAGGTTGGCAGTTCAAACCCACCAACTTCGCCTTGGAAACCTTATACAGGATTTCTGTGAGTTGGAACCAACTCGAGAGCACTTAACAACAACATGCTGTTAATTAAGTTAAGTCCCAAAAGGTTACAAACAGTTTCAAATCCACATTTGATGTTTTTTGTAATCTTTTTATATGTGAGGGTGTTGTTTCTGAGTTTCATTTGTACTCTGGTGTGTGTTCTTATCAGTAGTTAATTGAAGTTTAATTTCAATTTAACTGTATTGAAAAACGTTTTAATATGATTATATAACTGATAACTCATATCCAATATAGAGCCCTCTTATTTTTTAAGTGATCATTTTGATTTTAGGAGTGACTTTCTTGTTATTCCCATTAGATTAATTATTCAACTTAATTGTCAAAGGAGGCCAAGGCTGCTTAGCTGTGTGTGATACTATTTAACAGGGAAACCATTTTCGTATGGCCTTAGTCATCTTGAAGAAAAACTTACTTGCTTTTTTTTCCCCAATCAAACAGAGCAGTATAGCTGTGACTATGGATCTGGCAGATTCTTTATCCTTTGTGGAATTGGAGGAATTATTAGCTGTGGCACAACACATACAGCACTGGTTCCTCTAGATCTGGTTAAATGCAGAATGCAGGTTTGTTTTGCATGTTGGAGTAAAGTATATTGTTGAAGCATGGCTGTTAAGGCGTAAGATGTAGTCATCTACTAACAAGCTGTGTGGAAACCTAACTGTCCTGGAGGTAAGTTGATGACCAGTAACATGAGTTTTACATTAAAATGCATGGTGTGTCTTGTCTTTACTACAGAGTACAGTTGTGAATATGGCTCCATGAAGTTTTATGCACTGTGTGGCTTTGGTGGGGTCTTAAGTTGTGGTCTGACACACACTGCTGTCGTTCCTCTGGATTTAGTGAAATGCCGTATGCAGGTTTGTATTGAGATGACACTCAAAATTTTAGTATCTTTCATATGCGACTTAATGCCAAGTATGGTCATGTGTTGCTTAATTTCCACGAAATATTCTGTGAAATAGACTGTTTTGTGATTTGAATGTTATGCAAACACCATATTACATATGGGCAATCCCCTCCTTATGAATAAATAAACAATTCCAGATCTATTAAAAAGATCTTTAACATAATATTTTAATGTGTGTCACAAAGTGTAGCCCCAGTTATTACAAATAGTTGTATGTACCTTGAGTTTTTTATACAGTTTTAACAGAGGTTCCTACCCCAAAGTTATGTGGCATGTGACTGTAATCTTAAAGGGCTTCAAAAAATAAGATTTGGAAGAATTAACAACTACTAGAGACTGGCTGGAAAGCATACTTGAGTTTTTTGTCTTGTGATGTGTGGGTAAATTGTTCTCACTGACTGGCTTAATCCGGGTCAGAATTCCTCTTCAACGTGTAGGTTCTTTATATCTGAAATGGTTGTTTCAGAGTGGCGGGGGGGCGGCTTTGTATATGTGAATGATGCCATGTCTCATAATCTGTTAATAAGACCAAGGCAGACAGTAATATGTAGGTTTTTTTTTTTTTTTTAATAACTTTTGATATCTTAGTATGGACATTTTGTGGGCATACTTAGGCTCTTACATATTGATTTACATAAGAGGGTTTTTTAAAAAAACAAACAATATGACTATCTTAATTAGGCTAAATGAAACAAAAATAATCAAATACCAAAATTTATTTGTCCCAAACAGGATTAGAAGTCTACTTACCTAAAAGAAAGGAAGGTGAAATATTAGGAGGGAGAGGAAGGTGATGTATACCAGCCCTTCTAGTACTGGCAGAAATAGATATGATTTTTTTTTTTCCCCTCATTAGTTATAAAATATACTGTCTAAAATTTCCTATGCATGTCTCTTGAAGTGAATTTAAGTCAGAAGGCATATATATATATATATATTTAACTTGTACTTAGTCTGGCTGTATTAAACTCACATTTTATAGAATAATCTATTTAATGGATTCATATATAAGGAGCTCTGGTAGCGTAGTGGTTACGAATCGGGCTGTGAACCTTAAGGTCAGCAGTTCAAAGCTACCAGCTGTTCAGCGGGAGAAAGATGAGGCTCTTCTGCTCCCCATAAAGATTTACATCCTCGGAAATCCTATACAGGGTCGCTATGGGTCGGAATCTATTCGACAGCACTTAATGACAACAGCATATATATATATCAGAAATACAGACAATCTATTATTTAGGTAGTAGCTTTCAAATGAATTTAGAAAAAATGGTGGTAGAAAGAAGTGGTATAAGGGAAATTCCAAAGAATCAGTTTTACTGTTTGTTGTTTTAGAAATTTTGCCCCTTCAGTATTCTCAAAGGCTTAATTATGACCCAGAGTTAGACCTTGGTGTATAAGAAAATATCCTTTGTAGAGATTACCATAGACATTACGGTGGTCATTTAGTAAACCTGTATTTTAACTTTTGAAATTAATTTTAAAATCAAAAGGACAGTACTAGCAAATTTAATATTGATGATAAGTGTAAGCTTTCTGGTATGTTTAACAAATTTTTTTTTTTTTAAATTAAAGGTGGACCCCCAGAAATACAAGGGCATATTTAATGGATTCTCCGTTACACTTAAAGAGGATGGTGTTCGCGGTTTGGCTAAAGGGTGGGCTCCAACTTTCATTGGCTACTCTATGCAAGGACTTTGTAAGTTTGGCTTTTATGAAGTCTTCAAAGTCTTGTATAGCAACATGCTTGGAGAGGTATGTAATTTAATTTGGAATAGATGAAAGTCTAAAGCATTTAACTTAAAATTAAGTATCAAAAATGATGTCTAAGGTTTTATATGACCCCCAACATTGTTTTAGAATAGAGGAAATGGTCCGAGGGTGGACAAGGCATGCCTCAAATCATAAGGCTGTTTAAAGAGAAGGGATATGTTACATATACTTGGCACCTAATTTTAAAAAAGAAAAGGATCACATTGTATTATATAAAGTTAGCATATATTGAGTCTTATGTATATTGTATTATCTGTAGACTATGTAATACTTAAAAACTTTATCTGAAGCTTGTTTTCTAAAACTGTCATTTAAAAGTCACTGAAGACAGCCAGTGCAAAGGCAATTTATGTTTGTCCTTGTCTTTGTTTTTCATTTTAGGAGAATACCTATCTCTGGCGCACATCGCTGTATTTGGCTTCCTCTGCCAGTGCTGAATTCTTTGCTGACATAGCCCTGGCTCCTATGGAAGCTGCTAAGGTTCGAATTCAAACTCAGCCAGGTTATGCCAACACTTTGAGGGATGCAGCTCCCAAAATGTTTAAGGAAGAAGGCTTAAATGCGTAAGTAAAACATGTGCCTTAATTTGTAGTATAAAAATAATCCTCTGATATTGAGGGAACTAGCTTCCTACTGTGTCACTATAGGTGGGACCAGCACTGACCTGCACAGGGTTAGCAGTTCAAGCCCCCAGCTACTCCTGGAAAAACCCTATACAGGGTTGCCATGAGTCAGAACCAACTCAACGGCACTAAACAACAATTAAGGGAACTTAACTATGATGAAGTTCATCATACCTTTTTTATTGAATGTTGTTGTTGTTGTTGTTAAGTGCCGTCGAGTCGGTTCCGACCCATAGCGACCCTGTACAGGGTTTCCGAGGGTGTGTACTAATATGTTAATGTCTAAATATGTTATTTAGTGTTGTTAGAAAGCAGCATTGAGCCTGACTCATAGTATCTGGATTGTTGGCCACAAGGTTGTCAGTTCAAATTCACCAGCCACTTAGCAGGAGAAAGTTGGAGCTTTTGGCTCCTGTAAAAATTGTAACCTCAGACCTTATACAGGGTCACTGTGAGTTGGAATCAGCTCAGTGGCAGTGGGTATATATGTAAAAGACATCTAAGACCTAGCTGGAATGTATACAAGGGGGTTCAAAAACTGCTGAGAAAATAGAATTTTTCCATGAACTCTTAGAAGTCCTTTCATAGTTCTAGAGGGGGCTATAAATTTTACTGAATCCAGTTAATGTGTATAGTGTGTACATTGAATGAATGAATTCATTGTTTGAGCCTGCAAGTTAGCTTTTCTTTTTACACCAAAGAACTACTGACAATGTACAAATGATTTGATATATGCAACCTGACACGTAACAGTATTAGACATAAATGTTTACTGTTAAACTATTGGAAGGCTTGTTTGAATTCCTTTATATGTGCTGTGTTAAGAATTTGCATATATCAGGACACAACATGCTTCCTTAGATCCACCTTTGTGGGTGTCACTCTTGAACTGAGTTCTACTTGTAAACTTTTTGTTTCTCGTAGTTCCAGTCAATGAAACATCCGGCAACTTTTTTGGTTGTATAGTCAAAGGTGCTTGAGTCATTGGCATGTGAGAGAAATATACCTGCATGTGAGTCTTAGATTCTGATAGAAATGGCATGCAGTTATGCTGCTATTTTTTTCCTGTCAGGACTTGACTTCTGTGCGGACACTTTTGTAAATGTTGATAAAAAATTGTGCTAGATGAAATACATGGTGTAAAATGAAGTTTCCTAATTTTCTAGATTCTACAAGGGGGTTGCTCCTCTCTGGATGAGGCAGATCCCATACACCATGATGAAGTTTGCCTGTTTTGAACGTACTGTTGAAGCTTTGTACAAGTTTGTGGTTCCCAAGCCCCGAAGTGAATGTTCAAAGGGACAACAGCTTGTTGTAACCTTTGTGGCCGGTTATATAGCTGGAGTCTTCTGTGCAATTGTTTCTCACCCTGCTGACTCTGTGGTGTCTGTGTTGAATAAAGAGAAAGGTAGCAGTGCTTCTCAGGTTCTCCAGAGACTTGGATTTAAAGGTAGGATTTTTCTTTTCCAGGGGAAAAAGAACAACATTTTTGGGTAGGTATATTGTATCCTTTTCACTCATATTTCATATCTGATCCAGGTGTCTGGAAAGGACTCTTTGCCCGTATCATCATGATTGGCACTCTGACTGCACTACAGTGGTTCATCTATGACTCCGTGAAGGTCTACTTCAGACTCCCTCGTCCTCCTCCACCTGAGATGCCAGAGTCTCTGAAGAAGAAACTTGGTTTAACTCAGTAGATTAATAAAAGCAAATATGGACTGAATCTGCTTGCTGATCAGTGTTGAAGAAAGTCAAAAGGAACTTTTATATATTTGACAATGTAGAAAATTGTCTATTCCTGATATGATTACTGGTAGAGTACCCTTGCCAAAGGCAAGAGTTTCAAATTTACTGTTGAAATAAACCCAACTGTTGATGATTTGTTGGTGCCTTGATCCATTATTTGAAACACTAGTTTTAGAGAATTTTCTCCTAACAGAAAGGATACCTTAAGTTTTTCATTTGAAGTCTGGTGTGACACTATAGCAGAAGCACTGGACTGTTAAACAAGTTTGGTGGTTCAAACCCACCAGCTGCTCCTCAGAAACCTTGTACAGGGTTGCTGTGACTCATTGGCACAGAAAAAGGTTTGTTGTTAGAATTAACTATTTCAAGTTCGATGCATTCTCAGATTTTGCAACATAATA